GCATCGGTGTCGTTGCCAGTTGTCATCAATCACTAGGGTTGCCACATATATCATTAACGTTTGTAAACATTTTTAGATGGGGGGCTGGGTGAAGACGAAGACTTTGTACCGATAGTGCAAGGCGGAAGGCAGGTGTGGCTCGATGCTCCGACGAAACTGATGTTAAATTTGTTGGAAGAGCTCCGCCCTAAAGTTGGAAAAATTGCGTCTCAGAAGAATAAGACGAAGATGTGGAAAATCATCGAGCAGACGATGAAGGAGAAGGGATACAACTTATATGCAGTGCAAATAGAAAACAAATTTAGATCATTGGAGCGGCAATATAAACGAGTTACTCTGAATAACAGGCAGAGCGGTCGAAGTAGACAAACATGCCTTTACCAAAGGCTAGTGAATAATTATAATTATTGCTTTTTTATTTTATTTTGGAACGAATATCCATCATCAAATTGTCAAATTTGGTTTGCAGAAGAACTGGTTTTGGCGTTGGGTCATCTTCAATGTCGGATGACCGAAATTCATTCCAAAACACATATCCATACTACCAGAAGAAACAACAATAAATAACTAAGAAACTTTACAGTGAGCTAGATGCTATTCTAGCTGAAAAGCGGAGCATCAATCCAGAATTTATTTGGGAAAGCTCTGACACACTGACTACGAATACGGAAATAAAGTCGGATGTAGAGCAGTCTGCTGCAGGTACATATATATCCACAGAAATATGTACATATGTATATCATACATACATCCCTGTAATTCTTATAAGATGATATCCCAAGCTGCTCGTCAGCGAAGAAGCGAAAAACCGGTATTGACGATTTGCAAAAAATACTTACAAACATAGCTGAGGAAAGAAAGGAATACTACGAACAAGTTTTGGGCTTTCTAAAGAAAAAATAGGAAAGGGATCAGAAAAAAGAGGAACGGGAGAACCGAAAGCTAGACTTATTGGAAATTATAGCTAAAAAATAAATATGTAATATACTTATGGCTTTGAAATGCAGAGAAAAAAATTTATTTTTAAAATCTTAATAAAAATTAAATAAGCATATGTACATGCATATCGATACCTGAGTGGAAGATAAACCTATCTCGGTAGCCAGTTTGAAAACGCCCTATATCAGAAAACTTTTCAAGAACGCCCTACTTAATCAATCAAATTCTGAAGTAAGGCGTTTTTGAAAAGTTTTCTGATATATGGCATTTTCGAACTGGCTACCGAGATAGATCTATCTTTCACTCAGGTGACGATATATAAAGTTCTTTTTAAAATAAATATTTTTTAATTTTTAAATCTTTTATACTATGCGATATATACTCGCTATCGAAATAACAACACCAAAACTCATAGTGGTATTGTTTGCAACTTATGTTTATTTGTTTATCGTCTTTACTTATAATAATTTTAATTTAAAATATAATTTTATCACAGAAAACACAAAAATTAATGTTTCAAAGCGTCCACAAAGTTCACAAAAATCAAATTTCGAAACATTTACATCAAATAATCAATAAATACAAGCTGAAATTTGTTCATTATTTATGAAAATATGGATCATGCTTAAAACAAAATCATATAAATTAAAGATTGAGTTTTATACAAAATTAAGAAAAATTCAACGATTTTGATTTTCTAAAATAATTTCAAACATGATGCATGATGTGACACATGTCGCTATGTTCTTTAGTTCAACATTTGCAGGCCTTTAATCCAAACTTAGTTTAATGCCGTCTTTTATTTCTCATTTCAATACAAAGAAGGTTTCTAACATGATTACTTCTTATTGGTTCGTAGCTCTCATTTTCTATTGACTCCTCATTGCTAACCTCGTTTACAAATTCAAAATCATTTTCATTGGTAATATTATGCAAGACACAACACGCTGCTAAGAAATGGCATAACTTTTTATTGCCTTTCAATTTGCAGTAGTATAATTGTCGAAATCGTTGCTTCAGTATGCCAAACTACTTTTGGTCAGTTGTTAAATGTCAATTATCTTTAAATGGCGTAATAATAAAGTCACTACATGGATAAGCAGAGTCCCCAAGCAAATAGTAGCCTAAGGAATATAGACAGTTTTAAACTGAATCAATGTACGCATCATGTATTATTACCTCCACATAAAGATGATAAATTCCTATATACGCTAGAGTTTTGGAGAACCCAACTGTCGTGACTTGAACCCGGAAATCCTATGAAAACATCAATAAACTTTTTCCTTTCATCAGTAAATGCTTGCATAATAAGTGTCACGTTGCCTTTCCGGTCAATATAGTCGTCTTTGCGTTCAGCGGGAGGGTCGATCACTATCTGCGTCCCCTTATTTTAAAACACAAATGCACATATATGGAAATATTTAATATAGTTATTAAAAATATACATAATACGGCGGTTCAGGATGTTGTGGAAATGGTCTTGGATTCGCAGTTGGAATTCCTTTTGCAAATTTTATGCTTGCTGCCATGGCAACCGTGTGCATTTTATTGTGAATTTACAAATGCAACGAATATGCAAATGCAAGAGTATATGCACAAGATCCTGAACAGCTCTATTATGTATGTATATTTGTAAATACATCTTTGGCTGAATGTTTCTATTACCTATTGCTTTCGGAAAACCAAACTTGGAAATATTTGGCGGATTCTTCTTTCCTTTCATTGCTGGGCCACTTAATACATTCAGTGCTCATCCCACTTATAAACATCGAGAGTCTTTCAATAGTACGGCAAACGCTAGATATTATAATATTGAAGCGATCAGACAAGTCACGATAGCTACACGCTTCATGCCCGGCAAACCAGAGAAACACGGCTAGACTTTTGGCTGCTGACAAGCGATTAGGCGCGCGTAGATTTTCGTAAGACTCAATGTGAAAATGCTTTATGAATTCCTCGCCTGTATATGTGGACATTACAACCTCAAAATAGTTTTGAATGCTGTTCCTTGGTGTTCTTTTCAAAACTTTTATTATTTTTCCAATAATGGCCTCATCTTCAGTGTCAGAATTCTCCGCTATAAATTGGTATATCTCATCATCCGATTCGTCCATAAGTTCTGTCACAACACCGTGTAAAATGTTGTCGTTATCACGGCCTTCAATAATATTGGAATTCATTGCCTTAAAATACATAGACAATAAAAAAATTCCTTCATTAGAAGATACACTTACGCTTAAAATATTTTGCTATTTCGCCGCAATTGGCTTCTATTTTGCTAAAAATATTTGTTTTAGTTCTTTCGTTTGTTGTTTACGAGTGCAACCCTGCTCTTCATTTGACAGTTTTCATGAATTGCCGGAAGAAAAACTTCGGACTAAATCCTGCAACTTCTTACTGAAAGTAAGCACTCTCACAGAAGTACTCTCAGTTACAGGAAATTGTAGGAAATTTGTCTGCTGGAACGCTTTTCGGGCTAAATCCTGCAAAACGCAACTATTTTGTTGTACGTTTTGTAAATAGTTATGTATGCATATTGTGTTTTTGCATGCCTTTAGATTAAAGGCGAAATATCGACAGTAATAAACAAAAAGGAATATAAGACATCCAATTGTTTTATTTACCCTCGGCCTAGAGCTCAAAAAACAATCAAAAGATTACAATAAGCGGCCAGAAAACAAAACCTAAACATCGTGTACAAATCTTATAAACATTATAAATGTGAAAGTTTGTATGTTTGGATGTTTGGGAAATCATCACGCGGAAACGACTGCACGGATTTGCATGAAATTTTGTACGCAGATAGGTTATGGGCGAGATTGGTTAATAGGCTATTTTATTAAGAGTTTCCACCTGTTAAAAAAGTTTCATTTATTTAATATGCGGAAACGACTGAACGGATTTCATGAAAATTTGCACACAGATAGCTTATAACCTAGATTGGAAAATAGGCTACTTTTCTTAAGAGTTTCCACCTGTTAAAAAAGTTTCATTAAATTAATACGCGGAAACGACTGAATGGATTTGCATGAAATTTTGCAAGCAGATAGCTTATGACCTAGGTTAGAAAGTAGGCTACTTTTTTTTAAGAGTTGCCACCTGTTAGAAATGTTTAATTTAATTAATACGCGGAAATGAGTGAACTGATTTGCATGGAAGTTTTCACACAGATAGGTTATGAGCTAGGTTGAAAAATAGGCTACTTTTTTAAGAGTTACCACCTGCTAAAAAAGTTTAATTAAATTAATACGCGGAAAAGTCTGAAAGGATTTGCATCAAATTTTGCAAGCAGATAGCTTATGACCTACAGTGGAAAATAGGCTAATTTTTTGGAAGAGTTGCCACCTGTTAAAAAAGTTTTAATTAAATTAATACGCGGAAAAGACTGAACAGATTTGCATGACATTTCTCACAGAGATAGCTTATGACCTATGTTGGAAAACGGGCTACTATTTTAAGAGTTATCACGTATTAGGAAAGTTTAATTAAATTAATTCGTGGAAATGACTGAACTGATTTGCATGAAAGTTTGCACACAGATAGCTTATGACCTAGACTGGAAAATAGGCTAC